GAACTTATTCCTATATAACAAAGATTACATTAACACCCCAACTGAGGAAAAAGAGAAAAAGAAAACCTTTAAGAAGGAGGTGGATTGTTGTCCTTATTGAGCTTTACATAAGTTGATTCCTATTGTAAATAATTTTTTAGATGTTTTGCATTTCAAGCATGTATCAGCTATCTCTCTTCCAAGGTTCGGAATTTATAGGTTGGCCTCACGATTCAGCTGAACCGATAGGGAATCTCCTAGTTTGGGCCCAACTTTCTTTTTTTGGGATCTCTGGATGCAGGAGTTTCTTTCTTTAATACCAGTGCTCCTAGGGAGAATTCTCAGATCTTCATACTCTTGTTATAGTACTTTGCAATTTGACTCTGGTAAGAAGCTACCCTAATATAGGATAACTCCTTTTTGACATCTCGGATATTGAGATTGACTTTAAGCTATTCCTCTTTATTTTCCTCATTGCAGTGTTGGATCCTGTGGGTTTCCACCGGGATCACTGCCTTAGTCCTGAAGGCTAAGGAGAAAAGGGTTTCTCTAGCAGAGGACCTTACCATGGTTTTGTATGCCCCATAGAATGTTGGGGAGTTCTTCTTCCCATAGCCCTTTGAAGCTTCCAACCTCATATTTGATCCTTTCAACGGAGTTCTGATGGTGACTTCAGCATGTCCATTAGCTTGAGTGTGGATATGGGACGAATAATGGTTTCAAATTCCCAAGTCATAACAGAATTCTATGAAGGTGTTATTGTCAAACTGCTTTCCAGTATCAGTTATGAGAACTCATGGTACTCCCAAGTGGCAAACTATGGATCTCCATACGAAATCCCTAAGTTTCTACTCAGTGATTGTAACCAATGGTTTTGCCTCTGAACACTTAGTAAAGTATTCAATGGCGACTACTGCAAACCTGTTTTGCCCCTTGCTAGTTGGCAATGGGCCTACTATGTCAATGCCACCATTTTGCGAAAGGCCAAGGGCTAGTTATTGGAGAGAGTTACTGTGGGGGAATTTTGAGGGCATTTGTCACAGCTTCGTGAGATTTCAATGGTGTCCTTCTAAATAATGGGTCAATAATATCCTTGACTGAGGGCTTTATGAACTAGAAATCTTCCTCTAGAATGATTGCCACAGACTCCGTCATGGATCTCGCTAAGCACATACTAGGCATCTTCTTCTTCTAGACAATGTTGGTATAGTAGAGAGAAACCTCTCATGTAAAAGGTTCCACATGCTATTACGTACCTGCTAGCATTTCGATGGAGTTGCTAAGCTTTCACCTTATCCATTGGCAGAGTTTCATGCATCAAATATTGAATAAGGGGATAGGTCCAACCTTCCTTGGGTTGAATTACTTTTACTTCATCATTTCTTTCATGCGTCAATCATGGATCGCACTGATCACATACTGGGCATCTTCAGTCAAGTCTTTCAGTTACACATTACACCAAGAGCACGATCTAAAAAGTGCAGCCCCAACTAACAAACAACCCAGGTCAATCCATGCTCGGGGCTAGGGAGTAAGTGGTGATACTACAAAAATATCCAACTCAAACTAAAAGATAAGTCAAGACAAAATTTGTTGAGGAGTTCAAGACAGGATAGATTAAGTCAAACCCAACCAATGGCTAACCAGGTCAACTATGGGACTCTAGGAGACGACAAACCATCTAGAAACTTTCAGAAGGGGTAAATGAGAATTGTCACCAATAAACCCTACCTTGGGCAAGAAGACACTGCCTCTCGAAGGCCACACCATGCCTTTGGATAAGAGCCTCTAATGGCCAAATATTTTCTATATATTCTTTGACAATTCTGTTGTGAGAGCAATGATTACTTATGTATAAAAGGCCAGCCAATATGCTACCTCATGCACAAGCACAACAATGCACCCCACTGCACTCATCTTCTTCCTCATGAAATACACCTTCAAGGAGTAAGAGTCTCTGTTAGAGTAGACTAACCCAGCTCTTCAGTTAGGGAAATCACTAAATTTTTTATACATTCTTTACCCACTTTAGCACGAGCGTGCACACACACACAACACACCTCAGCTAGAACTCATTCAGCTCACCCACATTACGCTTCTCAATTTTTTACACTATCAATCATCTTCTTCCTCAATATCTATAACTTCATGATCATATGATTCTCAAAATATTAGCATATCTGTAGATAATAAACAAATACAAGAAACTGAGTTTTTCTAAATCAGAAGAGTTCACGTTGACATTAGAATTTGAATTCGATTCCCTTCCATCTCATCGTCCTTCTTGAAGGTTTCCAATTTGATTCCATTGCTTTTGTTTTCTTCTGCATATAAAAAGGTTGTGGAGCCTGAGAAAGAGATCAATAATGATGTTCACATGCATCCACAAGCACAACAATTATATATACACACACACACACACATACATATTTCATGCGTATGCTTGCAAGGTAACGAGAGACGTATAAAATATTGAAACTTTGGGGTTTTTTTTTTTTTCTTTTTTTTGGGGTGGGGGAGTGGAGGTTGTAGGGTTATGTTGTTTGTATGCTTGCATGTGGGCACCCCCAAAGGTATCTGCAGCTTTTACCCTACCATACAAGGTTCATATGATTGATCCACATATATCTGATAAGGCTCCTTGATAAATCAAATCCTGATTGAAAATTTCTTCCACTTTCTTCATGAGATACCTTAAGAGTTCTATTTTTGGATTTTTTTTGTTGAGCTGGTCTCAGCTTGAATAATCACAAATCACTGCTGACCTAAGTTTGAGCAAGAATTTAAGCTCAGTAGTTGAGTTTAAGCTTGTCCATTTAGATCGAGTCGAATCTAAACATACTCAAACTNTTGAGCTGGTCTCAGCTTGAATAATCACAAATCACTGCTGACCTAAGTTTGAGCAAGAATTTAAGCTCGGTAGTTGAGTTTAAGCTTGTCCATTTAGATCGAGTCGAATCTAAACATACTCAAACTTCATAAGTCGATGTCAGTTAGCATTCCTACAGATGTCTCTGTAAAGGTAGAAGACTTACATGGTAAGAATGATTAGGCACAAAGAGAGTCCCTGCAGCCCTCTTCAAATATAAGTATAAGTTTTGACAATGGTGATGGTGAGGGTGACAATGACGATGATAACGACGACCATGATGGATGTGATAGTACAACATGGCTATGTCAGATGCAGAGGGCCCATTTCTATAAATTTAACAAATTTTTGTAATGAATATTAGGAAATATGAATCCCCGTTGACTGAAATGGGAAAAGGAAAGCCCATTAGGAACCAAATTTTAGTAGCTGTTCAATGGAAAGATGCTAATATCTGCTTCCTACTTTTCCTTGGAGGCACATCTTTTATGTTCCAAGAAAACATTGTATTTTCCTTTCTTCTCTCTCTTTCTTGAACTATCAGCATCAAAATATGTACATCAGAAAGGGACCCTCTTCCTCTGCTTCTCCCTAAATTTGCAAAAGTTGAGCCCCATAAAAGGATAAGTCAGGCAGTGTCCTTGTACAATGAGCTGAATCCACTTTGTGGCCTCCTTTCATTTACTATGCAATTAAATACCCAACCAAGGATAAAATTTTTATTTCTTCTTATAATTTTGGCCAATTCGAAAATGAAAACGTTTCTAGAAATATAATGAAAACTGAAGAAAAACTTGGAATTTTGATTCCAAAATATTGGTTGAAGCGTTCCAACATAGTGGGAAAAACATTCTGAAATGTAAGAATATTGATTTTCCATCAAAAATTTGCTTAGATATATTTCGGTGGAAAGAAACAAAACCAAAAGAAACGAAAGTTTGTTCCATACTCCCAACTTCCTTGATTGAATTGAAGTTTCTTGCTTCATCAGATCTTCTAAAGATAATGTTAGTACCGGATGAAAACCGTGGGACATGGAATTTGTGGACTTCATGGAACTAAACGTCATTTTCCATTCACATTGACAAACAGTTGGATTGCACTTTAAATTTGTGGGGTTTTCCCTCTTTTCTGATCAAGCGGTACCTATCAAATGCAAATATTTTTCTGAGGCTTTGCAGATATAAACTCCAAAGGCAGACAACTTTTATTTATTTTCTTCAAAACCACAACCCTGAAGGGAGGAGAAGTGACTTAAAGGCGGTCAAAAATGAATCTTCTGTAGGAGACAATGACATATGCCTATATAAGAAAGGGAAATTACACTTTGGCCACCTCAGCTGTGATTCTTTTCTCACAATGCCCCTTTAATTATATTTCTCATATTACATCTTCAACTTTGTTATTTGTTTTAACATTGCTCCAATGATTAATGCTCGTTAGAAATTTGATGAAATATTACTTCATTTTACCCCTAAACTATGTGTTTTGATTTCACTTGGCCCTGACAAGTTGATAATTTGCGTCCACAAAAGAGCATGAATGTATGCATTTGGGGCAGTGTGAAATTGATTCAACTAGTTGAGAGTACAATGTGAACAATTCAATAACCCAAGGGACAAATTGAAATAGAGTCTATAAGAAATGGGTCAAAGTGTAATTTGGCATGTAAGTAATATGGTTCCTAGAACCAGCGTTAGAAATAGAATAGTTCAACTGTGAAAGAGATGGGTGGTTTTCAAGTGATGGTGTAAGAATTTGAGGGAATCGAAAAAGATTTAGACACGGTACAGATGGTCACCATCTTGATTCTTGACGGATTTCTGAAGTCCAAGGGGTGAAGAAAAAGATGGTTACAACTTGCAACTGTAAAACTCAAAAGTAATAATGTTTTTTGATTGTTTTACAGACAGAATTACAACATTTGAATCCAAAACAAATGAATCACACAAGGTCAAAAGACATTGAAACAGGACTTATTATGTATTGCTACCATTTCCGTACACAAAGAATGAACAAGAACAAACTCTTATACTGCAAATTTATGGCATTGAAAAGCTGAAAAACTTTTGTATAAGGCCAATGTACTAATAAGAACGAAACTTCATAGCACACATTTTTCAAATTTGTGACTCTAAAATTTGAAAACAAGCTAAGAAAATTGTCCGAATGTGGTAGAAAGTCTCTGGAAATGCTTACTATACACATCTGAGGCTTGTAAAGATTGTTGCTGCTGATTCTGATGCCAAGAAATACTCGAAATTGACACTCCATCCGTTGTGAAGTGTGTTTCGGGTCTAGTCTCATTGTATATATCTTGAGCAGTTTGATTCTGAATTGAGGTCCCTACTGAAAATGGGGTTTGGAGATACTCACTCCACTTGAAGTCTTCTGGTTGACCTTCCACAGAATGAATTTGGCTTTCTCTTTCGCGTTTTCCACAATTTGCCTGCGGCCACGAAAACGGGTTGTTCTCAAAAAACGAGCAGTTGTTTTGCATTTCAATACTGCTGCTGCTGCTTCCATTGCTGGTGCTACCATTGTTGCTGATTGTACAGGCATCCCAATTCTGGACCCTGTTGATATTATAAGAGCTCATTGGAGGATTATTGGAGGGAATACTAATCGAAGGCTTGATATGTATAGGAGTGGTGAGGATTGAATTTGACATGGAAGGGAGGATGGTTGTCATTGTAGAATTCAATTCAGAAATCATCCCAGAAGACTTGGAGTTTGGATTGAAGAAAGTGGCATTGGGGTTCATTGATAATCCAGTATTGGGCTCATAATTTAGCTGCTGAAAATTGAGATAACCCGAAAAATCAGGAGGCTTACAACTAGAGGTGGAGCTTTCAAGGGAGGTAACAAACTTATTTAGGAAGAATTCATGAGTTGGTTGGGATGTTTTCGTATTGTTGCAGTTGTTTTCAATAAGTAGGTAGCGGTCCATAGCTGATGAAGGTGGTTTTGGCTTCTCAGCCTCAACAAATTTCGAGTCACTGGGTGCTTCAGATGCTTTCTCATTGATAGTTGCAGAACAATTCTCTTCATTCTCAGCCTCGGAGATCGGCTTGTGAGTGTTGGGGTCAATGCCCTTCTGCCTTAGTTTTTTCTTAAGGGAAGAGTTCCAAAGATTCTTTATCTCATTGTCTGTTCTTCCTGGTAACTGAACAGCAATCTGAGACCATCTGGTAGAAGAAACAGAAAAACCTCAGACCAAAACAAACATCATAAGAATTGCCAAATGGTGATACATAACATATAAAATACCTGTTGCCTAGAACTGCATGTAGTTCAACTATCAAATTCTCTTCTTCCTGTGAGAATGTCCCTCTCTTTAGATCAGGCCTCAAGTAATTGATCCACCTCAACCTGCAGCTCTTCCCACACCTGTGCAATCCTGCCATTTCATTGAAACAATTTCGGAGGTCATACATGACTTTGTCCGTGTTAGCAAATGATTTGAAATATCTCGACTTTTAGAACAGCGCCGAATCAAATAGCAAAGCATTTTGAACCATCACAAAGACAGAAAAAATTAGTATATACCTGCTAGTTTTGGGACTGAGCTCCAACAACCGTGCCCATACTTAGTTATATGCTGCATAAGTTTCTCATCTTCTTCAGGAGACCACAGGCCCTTCCTTAGCTTCTGCTTGTAACAGCAAGAATGTCTTCCCATGTGGAGTGCAATCTACTTGCAACGCCAGGCAAAAGGTATACAAGGTTGGAAAAGTTTGTATAGAACACCAAGTTAAATTGTCAGCAAAAGGATAGGAGGCTACTTTGTGGATTGTAGGGGGAGAGAGAGAGAGAGAGATGTTTTGAAAATGGAATGGCAGCCTGTTAAGGTGTCAAATTAATAGGATGAGCCTTAGAAGAGACAATCAAAGGTGATTTGAGACCTTGGTTTTTGAAATACTTCATATGATTATTCAAAATATGTTATGCTTTTATCTTCTGTGAATTGTGAGGATGTAACTCCAATTATCTGACTTGCATATGTCTCATCAAAATTTTGAGAATTAATGAATTTGACAGCACTTGTAGGGCATAGTGACAGATATTTTTTGGGTGGAAAAAACAGGAGTTGAAAAAAAAATAATCATGTACTCATTTTTAATTTGTCCCTTCACTTATTGATTTTTTCATATTTCCCTAAATGAAACCTTTTGTTATCTTTTGAATGGAAATTGTCTACGTGTCAAAACTCATAGTTTAGGTGGATAAATTAAAATAACTTTTCTTCAAATTTATAACTAACATTAATCATTGGAAATATGTGAAATAAATGACATAGTTAAAGATGCAATATGAAAAATATAATAGTAGTTGACAAGACAATATGATAAAAACTCAAAGTTAAGGAGGTAAAAACATAATTTCTCCGTGGGAAAATTGTAGATGATGCAAGCACGTAAATGTTGGGTTTCAGATAAACTCTGCACTTGTACCAAGTTTATGGCAAGATTCCATACTCAGAATCAGCCACAAGATTTGAAAAAGGTAAGATGTTCTTGGAGATAAGAAATACCCATGATTAGTTAAGGCCTACAATTATGGTAACCTGCAATAGATTAATGATAACAGAAAGTCTTATACAGTTGGTCTTTATGATGACAGAATATCAAACATTCAATACTCCCCTCTCATAAATTTTTCTTCCATTTCTTTTCATGCCATATCATCTCTCGTTAATGAGCGAGGGATGTTCAATAAGTAAAACAGAAAAAAAAATTGTATTGAAGAAGATTTTATTGTTGTTTCTATACCTTTAACTACTTTTTATGCCAGAGAGCTTTGAAATATAACTTTTATTTTCTCCTCTCTTGTTTGCTTGAATGATTTTCTGAACTTAGGGCACAAAATTTGATGGTAGAGAACCCTCCTAACAACACTTCCGTCGGATTACTGTAATAGTGCAAATAATGGATGCGCACAATCACTCATAAGTCAAACTGGAAACTTCAAGTTGATGACAACTGAAATCTTCTCATCCAACCTATTCTAACGGTATCAAAGAGTTTTTGTTGTGGGAGGATACATTGGAGGGGGGGGGGGGGGGGTTTTTTT